TTTTTTTTTTTTTTCGTGCGTGGATCTATAAAAATACTAAACATCTTTCAGGAAAACGAGCCACTTACCTCTGCTGTGTCAAAGTCCGACATGTGCGAGTTTAACAGTGCAACCGCTGGTGCTATTAACGGTTCGCGGTCCCTGTGGGACATAAAAAAAAGACTCTACTGACAAATAATGATTGGCCCATTTCAGTTTTTTTTTTACGGGCAAAGTCCTTCAAAATGAGTCATGAACTCACAACAACTTTAACATACCATTCAAAATTTACCAAGCGGAAGATTTTTACTCGAGACCGCAAATTAAATTAAAACTCTACATTTTCTTCAAATTCAAAGTTTCGTTTTTCTGACCGAGACAAGGACTAGCTGTACCCTGGAAAACATGTGAGGTTACCAAACCCTATTAGAACTATTCCGCAAGTTTAACCAATTACTGGACAATGAGCCCTCTGAATAACGTACGTGTTACCACTTACTCATCAGGTGATAAGTAGACTTCTAGCAAAGTTTGGAAAAGCTTCTTACGAAAGTTTCTGTCTTTTCCCTGCAGAACGAGAGGTGAAAACCGCGCATGACCAAAACGCTGACCAGTTAGGCACAAAAGTTGACGTTAATACTGACAGGTTCACAAACCCATTTAACCCTCTAAACCCTAACATCAGTATGCATATTCTCCATACTGTTCTCTATACATTTCTTAAGGTGCTGACAAGGAGAATTTGTTTAACAATCAAGAGCTAATTTAATTGGTGATCACTTCCTTTATTCTCCTACCCTTAATGTGTGATTCAGGGGGTGATATTGTAAGGGGAAATTAGATGCTGGTCACTCTTAGACGTCAAAGGGTTAAATTCTATGCAATAAAGCTGCTCTGGGGAGAAAACCAACAACAAGGAGTGACCTTCATTTCAATGAAGAGCAAATTTCAAGTCTGCCGTTCTCCCGTCCGCCACATTTTCACGGACAAGAAAGGCGTCTTAAAGAGAAGTATCCCATTCTGAACGTTCAAAGTACGTTGCAACAATTATCATCCATGAATATATATATATCGGCGGAAATATTCCGCGGATTGATTAGTTTCCACCAGTAAAAGGCCACTTGAAAATATGTGACAGTAACAAAGCACAACTTAAATTACAGCATGACTTCCAGAAGTCAAGTTAGATTTACCTTTGAATGTAGCTCGCAGAACCTTTCAGCCTCAGAGAAATTTTCAAGTTTGTAAACTAAAATCTTGAGTGCTTTATTGTACTGCTCCATCTGAAATAAAGTACAAAATTATTGAATAAAAAGCTCTCTACAGTGTGCATATCGATAAGTGCTGTAAAACTAAAACTAAGTTAATCACAAGACCGATCAGGACACAGTAAATACTACAACGATACAGTGAGAACTCACAGCACAGAATAAACAACTGCTGAAAGCGCGGAAAAACGCGAATGACCGCCTCGCATTTTTGTCGCGGTTAGCTATAGCTTTGTACGTCGCTTTGCATCTGATTGCCAAGGAGTTTTCGGGCATAATATAGGAAGATATTAAAGCAAAACCATGGTGATCCCATCCATTTTACTCTTGATACACCAACAAACGCTGCTCTAAAACTTGTGCGCAACCTAGCTGTCAGGAGTGGGTTCTTCCGTTATAGCCCTGTCAAACCAGAGCCAAAAAATTGCAATCACAAGAACAGAGGTGGACTTAATCCCAAGCTCTTGTTATTGCACCACCCGCTCTGTAGATATTGCTTGACATCTTTTTGATGATTGGCTAAACAATCGCAAACCAACCTTNAACAAGGAGTGACCTTCATTTCAATGAAGAGCAAATTTTAAGTCTGCCGTTCTCCAGTCCGCCACATTTTCACGGACAAGAAAGGCGTCTTAAAGAGAAGTATCCCATTCTGAACGTTCAAAGTACGTTGCAACAATTATCATCCATGAATATATATATATATATATATATAGATATAGCTCTTTGGCATACAAAGCTTAGCTTTCATGTCCAAATTGAGCACTCTAACTAGGATGAGTCATTGCTCTGCAATTGCGCATGCTCGCTAGTGTACTCTAGTTTGAGCACTCTGGCATGACTTAGACGATACCACAAAGGTTGGATCGTTTGGGGTGACCATATTGGTTCTCCTCCATCCTAGCATTAGCACTGCACTGATGAGGCCCAGAAGGCCGAAACAGTACTGTCTGCAGTTATATAAATATATATATATATCGGCGCAAATATTCCGCGGATTGATTAGTTTCCACCAGTAAAAGGCCACTTGAAACTATGTGACAGTAACAAAGCACAACTTAAATTACAGCATGACTTCCAGAAGTCAAGTTAGATTTACCTTTGAATGTAGCTCGCAGAACCTTTCAGCCTCAGAGAAATTTTCAAGTTTGTAAACTAAAATCTTGAGTGCTTTATTGTACTGCTCCATCTGAAATAAAGTACAAAATTATTGAATAAAAAGCTCTCTACAGTGTGCATATCGATAAGTGCTGTAAAACTAAAACTAAGTTAATCACAAGACCGATCAGGACACAGTAAATACTACAACGATACAGTGAGAACTCACAGCACAGAATAAACAACTGCTGAAAGCGCGGAAAAACGCGAATGACCGCCTCGCATTTTTGTCGCGCTTAGCTATAGCTTTGAACGTCGCTTTGCATCTGATTGCCAAGGAGTTTTCGGGCATAATATAGGAAGATATTAAAGCAAAACCATGGTGATCCCATCCATTTTACTCTTGATACACCAACAAACGCTGCTCTAAAACTTGTGCGCAACCTAGCTGTCAGTAGTAGGTTCTTCCGTTATAGCCCTGTCAAACCAGAGCCAAAAAATTGCAATCACAAGAACAGAGGTGGACTTAATCCCAAGCTCTTGTTATTGCACCACCCGCTCTGTAGATATTGCTTGACATCTTTTTGATGATTGGCTAAACAATCGCAAACCAACCTTTCCATAGAGAATGGCGGCCTCTGCATCTAAGTCAGAATCATCGTTGATCTTGGATAGCAACAGCGCCACTCGATAAAGCGAAGACCACTCTAACATTGCCCGCAGTTTCGCTCTACAAAAGAAAACAGGTATACTTTGAGCTGTCTTGACAAACCGCATCGCCGACATTTCAAATTTAAAAGTAACAAACCAGGGACATTAGACCAAGTCAGGTGTCTGTGTCTTTTTTTTTTTTTTTTTTTTTTTTTTTTTTTCCTGGAAACATTTCATCGATATGCCCTTTGTCAAACGATAAGTGGCAATACCTAGTTCCTTCATGCCTCGTTGCCGGAATCACACACAACCCTCACTAATAAATAATAACATACCTTTGTTTATCAAGATTGTCCTGAGAACAGGACGGATCTCTTCTCATTTTCAACACTTCCTCCAAATAAAGAAGGGCTAAATGAGTGTGATACTTCTCTCTCTGATCAAGGATTGAGAAATTCAAATAAATTAATTCAGTCTCACTTGGACCAGATTTGATTTACGGTATTTCATCAGCTGGACAGTTGTTTCTGTGTTCTGACCTATCCAGAGCGATAGGGATTTTCCCCATGATCGCGTGAGCATTAACTTTGAGGGACCAAATCGCTTCCGATTTGAGAAGTTTATCATCACCTCTCGGATAAACGTTTTGAAGAAAGTCGTCCTCCTACTTGAACGTTTTGTTTGGGGTATTCTTCACTCAAATGGGGAAGTGTAAAGAGGAACTCTAGTTAGATGGCCGTTTGAAAACGTGCAAGAAATATTTACTTGATAAAGTTAGGGTTATAAGATTCTTGCTTATAAAAAGCCGACACAACATGGAGACCCCGCGAGCAGAAGTTGTGGTCAACTTCCTTGGAATAGAGAAAAAAAAACCTTACCATCTCTACCTACAAAAATACTTGCAACTAAAGAGTTTTATAACTGAGATCTGTTGGTGTCTATGATTTGAACGAGTTTTCCTGTTTATTTACACCTCTAGCAGAACGTTTCCATTTACTCATTGAATGTCAAAACGAGTTTAAATGTGGTTGGCAAATTGTTCGAGGAAACGCTACAAATAAAAACAGTGGCAGTTGTTCCATGATCTGTAAAGAAAGCCTCGAACATTTATCATACCTCCAATTTCCTGTCATAGACAAGATACTCTAGATAGCATTGTAAAGCAACAGGGAATCTCTGAAGGTATTCTACAATCAAGTCTGGTTTCATCTTTTCGTCGTTCGGTTGACCATCTGTTGGTCTGTCGGTGAAAACCTGCAAAGATGTTCAGAGAAGATCACAACTAAATTTCACACCATCATCACATTACAACTATGTACTTAAGGTGATTCCGTAGAAAAAAGTTGTCAAACAATTATTCTAAATCTTTCCTTGAATGTTCCCAGTTTCTAAAAATACTACAAAAAAGATAGGTCACCCTGCTTGCTTAGGAGGTATACTTGGCCAAACAGACTTCATTCACACCTTTACTGACACTAATAACGCGCGTCGTCTTATCCGTTCAAGCCACATTTTGCGGTAGAAAGTATCAATAAGTAGAAAGTATCGAACGTATGGAACAATTTGATATATGTTGTGTGGAAAAATCATTCAATTTTAAACGACCTCGACTCAAAACATTCCTCGAGTCAACGTGATAATTTGCATCCTGGAGTCATGGCCTTCGTGCAGGCTTATTTCTCCAATTCAAAGGGGATAATTTGTACACCAAAATTATGCGATCAGAATATAGGTAAACGTGCTCGTTCAAGAGCTAAAGACGATCGTACCTCTTTACCTGGTCCATTGATTGGACTGAAAAACAATACCATGTTCTCGGAATGCGCGTGCTTAAACGCCTGTTTACGTGATTTTATGCGCAGTACAAGTTGCGCAGTGCAATACTGATAAATCATCGTAAGTTCACCCTGCGTTGTATTACAAGACTACGTTACAGTTTCTTGTCACAGAATCCCCAAACCCAACCAATCAACTTTAAGTTTCTCATGATTGAGAAGAAAACGACGAGCTGCAGGAAGTACAAAAACACAGATCAAGGCGAAACGGAAAGATGTATAGTACAGCATACTTTTGGCCTCTGCCTCTAATATATTAATTACACCTCGCTTCCTTCGTTAATTCGTTGGATACTTTTATTCTTAATCAGGTCCATTCCGCTCTCCATTTCGTGCGTCTGTTCGTTCGTTCTTCGTCAGACCACCAGTTCGTTCGTTCGTTCGTTCGTTCGTTCGTTCGTCGGTTCGATCGTTCGTCCGTCCGTATGTACGTTCTCCCGTTCTTTTCTTTCGTCGCTAAAGCGTTGCTTATCCATTCATCGATAATAATGTGATTAACGCACCTTTACGGCTACTTCTTGATTCTTCTCCAGCAACCAAGGAACGTTGTTCCAGAGAAGCTCAGAACCCTTCGAACTTAATGAGAGAGTAATGAAAATAAAATCAACCGTTCAGGAAATGTTGGACTATTTTCAATGACTAATTATCTTCGCGTATATACTGATAATCAAAGTTGATTTTATGCACTAATGGAGGACATAAAACACAAAAACTATAACCATACGACATAAGTCACAAATACTTTGTAAATAAAAAGAGCCTTAAAACATCGCGATCAAAGCATTTTATACAGTATTATTATATGCCTTGATTTCAAATTCTGCAATAACATACCGAATAGAAAAGAAAATTGAATTAAAAAGGACAAAAATTTTACCTAGAAAGATACTTTACGACGTATTCTATCCCTGGGAAGTTTCTATCTCTAATCTCCTCCTGTATAAGTCTGGAAAGATAAAAACAAAAGAAAACATCGCAGGCAAGTTTTCATAAAATTAAGTTCCCTCCGAAGACTGTCGTTTCACACCGATTATTATTATATAACTGTGTCTCACAAGGACTGGGAACTACCGAATTCACGAATTTGATCGGCTGAAATCAATATTGAAAGCGGTCTAGATTTTCCCATCTAGACCGGCATCTAGACCGGTCTAAAAAAAGGTACAAAGAATATAAAAAATTGGCATATAAGACTCAGCCATATAATAAACACTTATTAACCGAGCTAGGTCGGTCTGTATGGGAGAATCTTGACCTCCGTCGCTGGTACAGACCCTACCGTGTCTGGTCTGTACTGGCGACCTCGGTCATGATTCTCCCATACAGACCTCCCGCTCAGTTAATAAGAACTAAATAATAACTTCTGAATCGTTTATAAAGACTTCAAAATATGGGAAACACGACTCAGAGACAGCAAGCCACTACCACATGTCGCTGCAACTTATTTCATCGACATCCTTATCACTCAAACCCAAACTACTTTGAACTTGGGAGATTTTCCCTTTTGCAGGGTAAACGATTTCCGCCAAAATTATTCATATCCCACAAAGCGAATTGTTGTAGTGACCTGTCGCAGCAGTGTCTCAGCGACTTGCTAGCTACTTTTTACAGCTGATAATTTGAACCAGAGTCAAGGTAAACTAAATTTTCTGACTCTGATGATGAATTCCGCTACTACTGACAACAGTCTCAGGACTCAGGACTCAAACACAACGAATATGCAATGGTACATATATTTTTGTTTGTTTAAGCCGTTCAGTCTAATTTATGCTATTCTTGTACCTTTCCTTATTTGCATGTTTTTAAACTAGTCTCTTGATAATGGAGTCACGATGACCCCGAAACGTCGAGTAATAAATCTTTCCTGGTTTTTTCTATGCCTTTGCTTTAGCAAATCCCTGCTGCTCAACAAAAAACGTTCGAAAAACATACCTTTTCCAAACAGCTACGGCTTCTGCAGTTTGTTTGTGATAGTCATAAAACAATGCCAATGCGTGGTATCTCTGAAAACAGAATTAAAATGTCAAAACGCACTTTTTACGACACCTTTTGTCACGGTGAGCACAGCAAGAAGGTAAGTTCTCTCTGTAAATTTCAACTCAGGGATGTCTTCCTTTCATTGCCATCTGATCCTCAATGCTACTCTCCATCTGCAATACATTTCCTTGTAAGCCAGTTAAGTGAATCTTGTTTTATACCACGATAACATCTTGCTGACAAGTTTGTCTACTTTTTAAACATCTCACAGAAGAACAGCATGTTGAGGTCATTGCTATTCGGTTTGTGGTAAGATCTAGCCATAAGAACAGTGCCAGGCTCTCTCTTATAAATACCTCGTGTTTCTGAAGGCAGCTGATGGTATCTGCAACAGTGCAGGCGTTTCTATTGGACACCAGACTCAGTAAGTCTGGAGAATTTATTTGTGTGTATAACTTCACGAGCGCCGTATCGACCTCCTACGGAAGAAAATAATTCTTACATGAATTCCACAACCTCTAGAAAGGAGCACACTCAATTTAGTAATAACACAACTACTAATCAGGACAAAGCAGCAAAGCATGCAACATCGTGTAAACTTGTGGCGAAATGACAATTCAGTAGGACAATTCAAACAGAAAAACAAACCTCTTTGTAGCCCGAATCTTCCGCAGTCTCTCTGGTTTCCTCCTAGAAAGATAAGAAAAATAAGGTGATATTGAAAGGAGAAAGAAGATGCCAGTCACTCTTAGGGTTTACATGACAGCCTCGTGTTTCTAATCCATTCCGTCAACAACCGCACTCAGTGTGGCCACACTCACTTTACCCAACATCTATCACGGATTACATAACCAGCTGAATTATACAAGCGCTCTGATTGGTTCTTAATTCTGATATATTGGAGGACAGACGCATGAATGAAGTCATCATGAACAGCATTTTGCTTCTTCATTATCTGCAACAAATAGATTCCATGATACCGTGGGTCACCGCTGTTTAGTTACAGATCACAATGCAGTAACAACCTCAGTGATAAACTCGGCTGCGCGTTATGTGCCACTTTCTTGATCTTACCACGTTATGACCTCATTTGCAATCAAAAATAGAACTAACGCACGCCAACATGCAATCAAGGTTCAAGGTTCAAGGTTCATTTATTTCACATTATTTACATAAAATTAACATAGATAGAAAAGTATAATTGTAACAAATGATTACAGAATAAAATCAATAAAGTACAGATTATAAAAATGTGTGTGGTGGTCAAAGTAGCGAAGGCTCTCTAGTTGGCCACCACCTACTTTTATAAAAAAAATTTCGATGCACGTTCTTTTTTTTTGAAAATTCTTTCAATACGAACTAGTAGTTGCTTTTGGGATTTTTTTATGTAGGTCGTTTTTGTTATCAAAGTTAGTTTGGGTCTGATACGAGTCTGATCCTAGAGAACCGAATTTAATAGATGCATTCCGTGTCAACTAATTTGGAAATGTACGAGAGGAAAAACCATTACCCACGCGAAGTTATTGTAATGTTTTAAGTTTTGAAATTATTAATTAATTAACTCTGTTATTATTATAGTTATTTACATAAGGGTAGTTATATATTTGATCACTAAACAGATCATATATTACTTGATTGACGAGAAATCAGGTGGGCCATATAAAGTTTCTTGAACCTGTTAAATGTTTTTAATTTTTGTTTCAATGCCAAGGAGACAGTTTCCCATATAACAGAAGCAGAGTACTTAAAAGTAAATTTGCCTAAGTTAGTTCTGACTTGTGGTCGGTGGAAATTAAGCTTGGCGGATTTTCCAATGTTCTAGGAGTGGACAGCTGTTATAAGTATTAAAAAAATTATAGAAAATTGCTGGAACAGTTGTTGGATTGTTACATAATTTAAATGCGAGTGAGCAGATTTTGAATCTAACAACATTTTCAAATTTTCAAATTTCAAGGATTTGGTAGTAAGGCAAAGAGGGTTCCCGTTTGTTTGCAAAAAAGATACTTCGGATGCATTAGTCTATGCATTTATTTTGTTTAGCACTGATCTTATTTAAATTAGTCTGATAAGTGTTGCCCCAACACATTGCACCATAATTAAGATAAAGGTAAATAAGTGCATAAATTCAGTTGTCTTAACATCTTTAAATTTAGGTAATTTGCAATCTATTTGCAACATAAGTAGCGAGTGGCGTAGGCAATCGGATAGAGTCATTTGTGCCGGATAGAAGACATGTAGATTTACAATTTTATATTCGTTTGGTTTTGTTCGTGTCACGCTTCATGGTCAGAGCATTGCCTCACCGAGGCGAAGAAAAAGTATGTAATAAATTCACTTAAACTGTGGGTCGCCTAGCCAGCACAAACTGTAATAAAAGCATTTAAAACTCCATGATATGGACCAACTTACAAGGTACTGCATCAAGAATAGCTTGGCCTCTGCCAAAAACTGCTTACTGCCGTTCACTGCAACCAGGTAAAAAAGGACAAATTTGATGTGAAATAATACCGCAAAATACGACGAATCCTCCCCCCCCCCATCACATTCACAGAACTGTGAGAACATATAGAAGAAAGATAAACCATGATTTCCGTGAGAAGTGTAAAGTGTTGATCGAACTTTTATAGCAAAACTGAATTCGTCTTTCGATCTTGTTTAGTTCAATGCATAAGCTCCATTTCTAGTTGAAGTTTAGAGAATGATCTAAATCATGTTTCGCTATCAGCATTTAACAAAGCGTTCTTTCTCTTCCTGTTATAAGGCCAGGGATAGCAGCCCTGCCAAAGGCGGATTCCCTTACAATCAGTCTCCTGTACCAGTTTCAATGTATACTCCTGAATCACAATGATCCTTGTTGAAGTTCGAACAGAGTTGCATTGGTTAACAAACATTATGACATGATCATAAGCTCACCCCGGGCACTCAGCTCTGCTATTTCTCTCGATGGTAAGTATTTCCAGTTGGAAGAGAGGAGGTCTGGGAATAATATAATCAGCTGAAAAAAGAAAGAAAGAAAGAAAGAAAGACAGGACTTGAAAATTTTTGCATGCAAATAAAATAATAAGCAAAAGTTCAGTGCATTCAAGAAAATTTGCCACAAGGTGGTCAAAAGTAAAAGTAATACAGTCGAGCCTGTATCAAGCGGTCACCCACGAGAAACGGACCGCTAAATATTGGTTCTATAGATTAGGGGTATTTACAAAAAACGACACACAACGCCACTTCATGCCATAATTAACTACTTAATGTACAGAATCTCGTTCAAAAATACTTTAAAAACTAAAAAATTACTTGAAAGATTATTCTTAGTTTTCTTTTAGTGGTTAGGCTTTAACTGGCCGTTTAATAAAGGTGACCTCTTAATAGAAGTGAAAATTAAATAAGAAAAAAAATTCGGGACTTTGACAACTGACCGCTAAATACAGGTTCGACTGTCATCTACTTCTCGTATGTTCCTATATCTGGTTGTTTATAATTCTATTCTGATATACTTCTGGTTAATTATAATCCGTGTACTTAAAAATTGACAGAAAAACAATCTTTTACAGGCAAAAATAACCCCTTAGATCATACATAGGCGCTGTCTGAGCTTCAAAGGCGTACGAGAGAGTTCGCCGCAAGGAAATCATCTAAACATCCACAATTTAGCTGATCCACGACCCTTCGTTACTTTCCTGTGTTTCGTTTACGTTATCCTACAGTATGAAACAGTTTGCAGTTAAATGGTGATTACTATTATAATTTTTTTCATGGCCGTCTGCCTTGATGGGAATTGAAAGCCCCAACCTGACTGTGAAGCTAGTGTTTAGCATATTACCCATTCGCAAACGTTTTGCCAAGACACACCACAAAGACCACAGTAAACTATCAATCCCACACTGTTTACTAAGGTTGAGTGATGAGCAAAGCATTTATACATCACAATTAAGAGTCTCCCTTTTTTTAATTGAAATAAACCAGGATAAAAGTTACCCAGCGTTCAAAGAAGCAGACCCGCAATATCCAAAGTGCTAATCACTAGTAACCGGTTGTTAAAAGGCTGGAGAACGCTAACCAAAGGGTAAACCTCAAAAGGGGGTAAGTTTCTAAAGAAACTGTGGCGTTGCGTCGGTGGGAGTAACAAGGTAGTTTGGTTTATCAACTGAGGTGATAATGTAAATTGCCGACCGTAAAGAGCTTCACAGCTGACATTTCGAGCGTTAGTCCCTCGTCAGTGCGAATGGAAGAATTGTGGGTCGTTAGTGTGTGTTTATGCGCAGAAAGTGGATTTACGATACTGATGGTTAGCGCAGTACGTTATATTAACACTTATCCGCTGGATAAGTGTTAACAAAACTACTGGGGTCCAGGCTGACACATTCTCCACAATTTTTAGAGACCCACGAAGAACACTTCAAATCGTAAAACGATACCTCTCTCGGATCCAGTCCTCCCTCTTTCATAAGACGTCCAGCTTCTGTAAAGTACCCTTCTGCCATGTATATAAATCCAGCCTGCAGTTGCGTTCTCTGAAGAAGCTGAAAAAATGTTAAAACAGATTTGAGTTTTCGACTTGCCAACTGCGACATTGTATATGGCTACTGAATCTTGTGCCCATGACCTCTGCCAGACCGGTGCAGCGCTCTAACAACTGAGCTGACAAGCCATCCGAGAGCTGGTCACTTTGTTAGTTGTGTTCATTACAGTGATGATTACTCTCATCAACATTTATTGCTCCGCAGTTCAAATATATGATATTCACATATTCTCAATTCTCGGATAAGGACGAATAAACCGTAGGTCCCGTCTCCTGCATCTATCAATTAGTTAAATTGGTTAGGCAGGGGACGTAAAAGAGATTACTGTGATGTGGTCTGGCCTGTTTTCTGAGAATTGGGGGTAGGGGGCAGCTGTTAGATTCGCTTTTATTGATTGTAAACTGCTACTAGCAGTGTGGTAAAGTCCTCCGCACAGTGTTGTAAAACAACTCGTAATTCAGCATGCTGCAAGTATTTGTTCTGTTATCACTATGGCTATCATTATCACTATCAGTTTGTAATAGAAGTCATGGGCGAAAAATATCTAAAGTGCAACAACTCTTAGAAGGTCAAGTCTTACTAGCCAATTTTGTACTTAAACTAGCTTAATTTACTGTTCATCGAATAAAACAAAAGTATTCCTTTCTTCCGTGCATCTGCCCGCGAACTCACGTACCACTTTTGTTTTCTTATCACAGGTTGACGTAATGTTGATCTACAACTGGACAGGCACTAAGCAAAATGGGATCTACCTTATACTACACCACTTTCACTACACACACTAAACAAAAAAATCTTAGGTAACCAGGTCATCATTACATTAGCTTTTGCAAATGTTACTGCATGAAAACTTTTCGTTGGAAGGTACCTTTTCATCCCTTTGCGGTCCTGTTGCTGTTTCCATGGCGACATGAGCAAGCTGAAGAGCTTCACTCACTCGTTTCTCATTTAACAACATCTGCACCTGATAAATACGGTCAATGGTTTATAGAAAGTCAATATCTGAATTTATCGTACCACTTCTCAGAAAACAAAGGTAATATTTCAGCTGGCACTAAAGAGTACCATAAAAATTCAATCAACTTTTTTTTTAAAAGTTGAGATGTCTGTAACAAGGTTGATAACAGCACAGTCTGGCATACTAAACATAAGCCCAGAACATCTCCCACAATTCCTATGCAGGAACAAATAGTGAAAAACATGTTCTCATGAATAATAAATGTAAAACTACCTGTTTTCTGAATGAAAGCTGTGCCAAGCAGTAGACTTCTCTTGAAGAACAAACAAAAACCTGATTATCATAATTCAATAAGAGTCTTCCACCCTAAAGGAAAACAAAGCACGCAAACATTTTTGGTCAACGTGGTACTTTGTTACATAACATAAAACAAACTGAATTACGCAAGCATTTTGAATGTCCTAATTGAATGATCTCCAGGGGCTCGTTTCTCGAAGGTGCCGGTAACTTAACGGGCCCAAAGCCATGTTTTAAAATCAAAATTTAAAGGGTAGGAAAGCAGGTTCTGACAACCAAACCCGTCCTTTTTGTTTCTTTAGCGAATAGTTTTATTGTGGCAATTTCAAAACTCTTGAAATCCCAATCTTGAATGAAAACAGAACAGCTTTACGGGTCCGTTAAGTTACAGGGACTTTCGAGAAACGGGGCCCTGGGCCCAGTTGTATAAAGGGCAGATAACGCTATTCAACGGATAAATCGCTATTCAGCGGATAAGTGATGGCAAAACATATTGCGCTATCCACCGGATAGAGATTTATTCAGTGGATAGCGTTTATCCACCTTCGAAGAACCGGGGCCTGGAGGTCAGTTGCATACATGACGTCACCATTAACAATATTACAATAATTCTATTTGCTTTCTTAGCACATAAATCCAATGAACTCCATTTTGCCGCGGGTCTGTACTGCAATAGATCACAAAAGACGCCAAAAGTGGTACGGACATTAGTGACACACTTGGCTACGCTTCGTGTGCCACTTTTTTTGGTTATTACAACATTTTAATGTCATTTATGATCGATTGCTGCACAGACCCACGTTAACATGGAACCTATTTGTTAAATCTACATATCACTGTATTTAGTACTGGTTTGCTGCTGAAAAGGAAAATTGATAACAACCAATTGGATTTAAATTATTTTAGCGACCAAGATAATCTGTGTCGTGCGAGAAATATAGAAGAACTGAAAATATAAAACTCAAAACGACCTCGCATCTAAAAGATTCACGTTAAACTCCTCATACCTTGAATATGAGTGACTGCTTCTGTGATTTTTGGTCTTGCCCTATAATGCTTGAATCAATAAAACGGAAAGAGAAACCACATTAATTTATTTAAGTTTGCATTTATTTTTGGAACAAGATTGAAATTCATCTGACTTCAGGTGTCGAATTTAATTAACATATCGAAAGTGGCTTAACAAAATTCCAAACTCGTTCCCAGGGCCTATAGGGAAAAGGCCCTGGGAACGAAGTTGACAATATTCGTCATCACAATGGTCAAAACGTTGTGGACTCACGAAGAGCAGTCGAGTGAGTCCACAATATCGATATCAAATTGGTGCGTTACACGTTGCGTGACACGTTGACGCGAGCAGCGTTGTCTGTACTCTTATCGACAACGACAATTGGCCAATCAGATCGCGGCATTTCCTGCCAATTGTGGTAAGTAATTTATTATCTAATTTACATGCAATTAAGTGGAACAATATTTCTACAATTGTTTGCACCTCATCACCAGAAAAGGGAATGGAAAAAAAATAAGTAAAGAATTTTTCGTAAATGTTTGTACCTGTGAACAGAAATGGAGTTTGCTCCTAGTGCCACAGCATAAGGAAACGAATATCCCAGAGCCAGCAATCTCTCTGACCAGCTGAGTGGAGCCCTCTGAGAGGTCCCTTCTGAAGTAACAAACATACCCATGACATCTGTAGGGCCATTCAGTAAAAATTCCTCCTATAATGTAGCAACATTAATTACCATAAATGGACAACAGTGTTGTATATAGCAAATCAAACTGATTAGAGAAAGTCTTGCAGAAAAGCAAAGTGTCCAACACAGCACATGCATCCCAAAGATTTTTTTGTGTCCAAAGTTATCTGGGGCTGCTATAATTTTGCTATAAATTGCTCTGATTGAATCAAAACTTTCTCTTCTTTCTCAACCATTAAGAATCAATACTAAAACCAGTCATGCAAAGATGTTTTTTCGTCTAGTCACAAGTGTGGGGCAAAGAAAAATTTCTGAGTTCCAGTGAGGAAATGAACCACCGACCTTCGGATTCCATGTTCCAGTGCTCTAACACTGAGCCATAGAGACTCTGTGGTCAGCGAGGCTCATTATGAAGTTCATATATGACACCCGTTTTGAGATTGGCAATGTTGAATCATCATGGTTTGTAAAGAATAAGAAAGATGGATTTCTTATTCTTTAAAACCAATTATGTCTTGGTCGCTGGGGTTTGACTGCCCAGGAGCTGCCAGGAAGCTGCTCGGAAGTTGCTTACAGGTTTTAATTTTGAGCTCTCGTTAGCTGCCTAAGATATCTTCCTGTCCTCTGAGCAGAAATTGTAATTTCTTTGGTTTAGGTTGTGCAACACTCAATCACTGCGCACTGTAACACACCAAACAATATACCAGTGCATCTCTTGAATCGGCACTCACCATTCCAACACCCATGACAAGTCCTTTAGTAACTTCATCCTCGTAATGAAATAACTCTTGAACCTAGGTACAATCATAATGTAAAATTCTCAAAACTTAGTTGCATAAAAAAAAATACTTATAATAGAGTCTGGTTGGGCTGGAGGGAAAAGTATCTGGCCCTTACCCATGACACACAGACAGGGCTGTCAGTAAGTTTTGAAGTAGCTGTTACATTGGAGATATCACTGGTAGCAGTAATCAGTGGTGGATCTAGGGGAGGGCCCAGCAGGGGTGACCCTCTCCCCTTGCTGTGGGAAAAAAAAATTGCAGAAGGAAGAAAAGCCAGCAGGTGTACACACACAATAAAACCAGGCCCCCACCTTAGCTCAAGGCCTGGATCTGCTACTGGAAATGTAATAAGTGTCCAAGTGTGGCATGACAAAAACTGACATCTGCAACCTTAACATCGAGTTAAATGAGAGCCCTTATTGACAGCCCTGCAAAGACCTCAAAACCCTTAAGGTCCAGGCATCACAACATTAAGGCAAATGCTTTCCTGTCTGACAGTCCTACACACAACATGTACTGTTACAAATTATTCTTGTTGTTGTTTCTTGAGTGACCCACAGGGTAGAAAAACTACCAAGAGAGCTGTCCTGTAAATGAAAGGTTTGACACTGTAAGGTTCATTTGTCAGTTGATTTGCTACTCTATACCTTGCCAGAGAGAATATTAACCAGGCAGTAACGATGTTGATTAGCCAATGCCACACAAACAGATCCTCCATCAACTGCCTGAAGCAAAAACAGGACCATTCAAAGTTAAGATCACACTTAGTTTGCTCTGAAATTAAATCTCATTTATGATTAAATGAAAGCTCTTAAATTTAGTTTTTGGAACACCCCAATAATTTTTTAAGACATTATAACCACTCTAATTTTTACCTTCAGTTTAAAAGGGGGCAGGGGGGAAGGTTTAGAATGTAACATGCCATTGCTTGAAATTACTAATTTAAATTTTGCAAATAACAGAATGATTTTCATTTCACAAATAACAAATTATGCACACAGATATATGTATTCTACTTTGTTTCCTTACAATAAATGATCATTATTTGCTGTGATGCATGTCAAAAGAACAAAAACAGATGTCTAAAAGATAAATCCTTAACAGTGCGAGATAACCAATGGCTGCTTCTACTCTGAATGTTCATCAGCGCTGAGAACCAAAGTAATTTATTGTGTGTGAAATCCTAAAACCATTTGATTCTTATCTTTACATAAGAAGACAAACTTAATCATTACCATTTGCAGGGGAGGTTCTGGAAGTGGTATTTCTTTCAACAGAGTTATCCTGTCTTCAGTAACTGAGAGAATATGGATGGCTTTCTTTTTGGAAAGTGACATACACACCTGAAGATTACACATAATTCAAAGCATTCAATGACATGTGACAGTACTTTCTTAAAAGTATAAAGACTTACTTTGTTACATACAACCTCTTTTTGCATTTGTTGGTTTTGCTGTTTTGAATTTTGGCCAAATAATGCTCACTTAGTCTGGAGAAGATAAATTCTATCAAAGGTAATTGCTTCCTGGAAGCTCTTGATGTTCTACATGAATATACATGAAAATTATGTATTCAAACAAAAAAAGCTCTTGGCATTGCTAGTCAAATAATATAATTTTTTTGTTGTTGTTTTTCGCTCAAATGTTAAACATCATTCTTTAGTGTAATGTATACCATTAACATTTTTAAAACATTCATCCAACTGGTAAAAAATATAATAATGAGAATAATGAGATGGTGAGAACAAAATTTGTTACCTCAACAGCAAATGGGTCAAACATATTTGGATTATCATTTCTACATATGGCTGTCACCTAAAAAACACAAAACATAACAATATCAACAAGTAGATTATAAACAGCTATTAGTAAATAAATTAAACTTCCAACTTGAGCAGAAAATACGAAGACATTTTGATGAATGAATGTCCCAGTTATTCATAACAGTTTCTTACACTGTGAGCATTACATTACTTCGCCTTACCAAACACTGTTGGTTAATAAGACAAATTTTGAATATAATTAATTTGGTTGTTGCTATTATCACTTTGTGCTTCACTTTTGGTTTATAAAACCCTTTAACTCCCTGATCTGACTGTGAATTCTCCCCTCTAGCTGTTTCATATTTCCCTATAAATGAGTTACATGAATTTGGTGTTAGATCAAGGTAACAACTTCTACCTGATAAGTTTAAGTGTTCTCATTAACTGTTTGCTGGATGTTACATGAATGTTATAAGGAGAAGTTACATGTTAATCACTTCAATCTGGGAGTTGAATGATTAAGATTTGATTAAAAAAAAAAAAAGAAAGAAAGATCGCCAAAAACTCCACACACTTCCTACAATTTGTTAACTTATTCCTCCACAGACAATAAGGATGTTACAGTGGGTATGACTGCTACATGTATTAATTTCTTTCCCATGTTAATTAGAATGGAAGCTCTCTTATTTAGGGCTTATTTGGTGCCAAGAAAGTCATGAGTATTACTTATAATTTGGATATATCAACAAAGTTGAAATGGTAAATTGGCCACCATAACGATTACAAAAGCTGACATTCCAGCATTAGCCCTTCATCGGAGCGAAAGACGAAGGGTCGCTCCAACGAAGGGCTAACGCTCGAAACGTCAGCTTTTGTAATCGTTACGGTGGCCAATTTACCATTTCAACTTTGGTGATATATCCAAATTGTTTCGTTACCCCCACAGACGCGGCCCCAAACAGTTTCTTTAGAAACTATCAGCCTTTATTCATAAGTATTACATACCAGTGCTACAACTTACATTGGTTCTACTGGACAAGTATATATTTTCATTTCATTTGGCAGCGTAATAGCTGTCACAATTAGAATTATTTCGAGTAAACAAATTTGTGGACAAAAGAAAGAACACTGAAGTACTAACTATTTCTTATAATGAAAGCAGCTTACAGCTACACTTTTTTTTAACAGAAAAGACTAAATAAATACCATTCCATTAACAAAAACAAACATGCATACCCCTTTAAATCTGTCCTTAAATCCAGTGGCCAAAAACTGCAACAAATTGTACAAAATGTTACGAAAAACTCTATTCCAAAGGACATGATGTACTTGGCCAAATGAGTTGATTCCTAAATTTCCTCCCTCAGCTAAGGAAAGGCTACAAGGTGCTTAGGCTAGGAGAAGTGGCAGGAAGATTAATAATTACTTGATAACCCTTTCACTCCAAAGATCTCATTCATTTAGTAATCCTCCCTACCATGTGTAATACCATTCTTATGATGTTAGTGCCACAAATTTGGTTTTGGATTAAGTTCTTATCAACCGAGCAGGAGGTCTGTATGGGAGAATCTTGACCAAGGTCGCCAGTACAGACCAAACGCTGTGTGGTCTCTACCAGAGACCAAGGTCAAGATTCTGCTATACAGACTGACCCAGCTCGTTTAATAAGATGTTTATTATATGGCTGTGTCTTATATGCCAATTTTTTATATTCTTTGTGCCTTTTTTTTCTAGACCGGTCTAGATGCCGGTTTAGATGGGAAGATCTAGACCGCTTTCAACATTGATTTCAGCCGATCAAATTCGTGAATTCAGTAGTTCCCAGTCCTTGTGAGACAGCCATATAATAACTACTAATAATCCCCTGATTGATATTTTTCTATATTCTTATTTCTTGATTACTTGATATTGTATTTAATATTGTAAGGAGAAAATCTGTCTTGGTTCCTATTGGGAGTGAGAGAGTGTAACCAAAAGAGTAACTAGTTGTAAGTAAACTCAAACTTCTCTTTACAGCTACTCAGTATCATTACTGAATAAAGCATTAAGGTCATGAAGATAAAGGAAATGATTATTCAATGAAAAGCCATTGATTGATGGGCAAATTATGCTATCAGTACCCAGGGATTTCATTCATTTCAGAAGTAGGCAAATATTAGTACATATAAGTAGGCGGAAGACAGTTCAGCGGTTATTGAGGCGGATTTGTCACCAGTCTTTTTCTTCTGTCCATTCAACATGGCACACAGCAAGCCAATTGTGTTGTTGATTGAATTGTTACAACTTGTGACAAAAATCACCCAACAACCAAACCGGTGACAAAATATCAGCAAAAACACCTTTACTGATGATTGCCTTTAGAATATATCGAATGTTTTCCTAAAAACACACAAAAACCACGAGGTGGAATGGTCAAAGTAGCCAGCTCTGTTGTGGAGAGTAGCCGCTGGAATTCCTCAGTTGCCAGCATCTAATGGAATTCCTGAGCACCATGGAAAATGTACAGAAAATAGTATGGAGAATGTGCATACTGATATTGGGAAATAAAATGGTGAAATGATTTAGATATACTGACGAAAAAAAGAATCTGTCCCTCACCTCTAAGCCGAACATGGCAAACATCAAAATACTCCCTAATGGGGATGGAATAAAAATGTATTATAACATAGCCAAAGTAAAGCGCGCACTCTGATTGGTCAATTCAGCATCCACCATTTGCCCGAAGGTGTACGTTGCTGACGTAAGCAAATGTAAAGACTTGTTTTCCGTGTGCGCTTGTTTTTTCTGGTCACGCAAGATTTGTTGAATAAAAGAAAACTCTCTTGATACAATGAATCAATGTTATGTTATAAAACAAATGGTAAATGCCACAGTGTACACTATTGAGTTATGGTGCACTTGGGAGGTTTGCTAAGCACTCAAGAAGCTAGAGTCACTCTCGGCTATCGCCTCGTGCGACTCTTATGCTTCTTTCATGCTCAGCAACCTCCCACATGCATCCATAACTCAATAGTGTACGCTGTGGTGTTTAGGTACCATTTGTGGATGAGAGATGTGATTTTAAAATTAGCCTTTCATCCCCTGTGGGTGATAAACATCTTATTTCTCCCTACAGCCTCCATCCCCTGGATCAAACATTAAGGAAACAACAGATGATCCCAAAAGTCAAGCAGCTGTAGACTGTAAAGCCCATTCTCCTTTTAAAAGAGCAGCAGGGAGAATTTGCAAACTGAGGTCAAAGTGTAAAGGGTTAGAGAAAAACACCAATTCACCAAAAGTTGTCAGTATGAACCAATACCAACAATAAGGCTTCAACTTACCATCACATAAAACTAGAAGTCTGTTTATTGCTGGGGCTGTCAAAACCTGCTGTATTGGCTTTTTCTAATGAAATGGAACAAGACTCACATCTTAGAGTGAAAAAGTACAGTCCACCTCATTGATCATTTTAAATAATATGGTTTCCTAAATCTATATAACTCGAATATCTTGGCTTAATGGTTAACAAATTTTCTGACCTAAGGTGTTACTCTGTACATTATGTGTGGAACAAACTCCACCATTATCACTTTATTCATATATTACAATAAGGTCAAACCTACAAGTAAGGGAATTATTACTTCACAAAGGTAGCAAAATTAGAGTAAAGAACGCCTGAAAAAAATCAGGCAGCAGATGGGTTCAAACCTTTGTCTCCCTTATATAAAACAGCACGATCACCAAAAGAGAAACAATTCCACATATTGGAAGCAAGGCAGATTTTCATACACAATATAGTTCATTTTACAGTTGTGAGCTTAGTTGCCAAGCCTTTGCACAGGAGTGAGGCTAAGGGTGACCTTGTTATGACCCAGACGTTGCCTGTTTTTAAATGTAAATCACTTTGTTCTCATGATAACTAGGTACAGGTCTCTATCACGACAAGGTCACCTTCAGCCTCACTCCAAATCAAAGGCTTAGCAACTAAGTACACAACTGTAAAATGGCCTGCTGAAAATAAGCATTAACAAACCATTCCAAGATGTTTACAAGCTTGGAGTCTTGACTGAAAAGTTGTCTTTCCCAATGGTGACGTTCCTTCATCAATCACATAGTTAAGAACAAAACTAAAAGATAAACATTTAGCAACAGTTTTGTTTAGTGAATATTGATTTGACAGGATATAAATCCTACATGAAATTCTACACAAGTACTTGTACCTGTTATGGACAACAACTGTATGAATACTTTCTAGAAATTTCCACCATGGAACTTTCTAAAACATTTTATTAGGTCATGTTGTAACGATGATAAACCACAGGCATCCCAAGCTCGTGTCTCTGTTAAAAAACAGTGATGGCAAAGCAAACCCAAAATGGGAGAAATCACCAAAATCACAACGCACACACAAGAAGTGAGTCAGTTTTATCAATCTTAAGTGTAAAATGTTCATATTTGAGAATACTTAGTATTATAAATGGACCGTGTATCATTGTCCATACTATTCTTTATTACATTCAAATTCTCAATGGTTCCTTGTGTAACTAAACACTGCATTACACAACACGTAACACTTTCAAGAAATAATCTTTCATTTTTCCTCAAGACATGAGCTTGGGATGCCTGTGGTTATACTACTGAAATAGTTGTGTCGTAAGCTTCTGGAATGTTTTCAAATACTTTGTAAATGTATATACTCGGTGGCATAATTAACAATTATTCCACGAGCACATGTTGGATATGAGATGATAGATAGCCAACGAGGCGATTAGCGCGGAGTTGGCTATAATCATCTCATATCCAACAAATGCGAGTGGAATAATTGTTTTATTAAAAATGCTGCATTAAATTACTTAATTTTTAGCTCCCTTTTAATTTTAAGCTTACGGGCACGCTTACCATATCGTAGTTTATGAAATATTGGATCATATACCATAATGGCTAAGCCGATGAAAAGTCTTGAATTGCATTATCCAATGATCCCGTTTTTAATAATAGCAGTTAGTTGTTGTTATTGGGAGTGACTGAAAGTCTTATTGAATTCTAAACAAAATTGCAGTATTCAAGCCTGTGTTTAATCAAGGAAAATGCTCCTGTTATTACACAAATACATACCAATCTGTAGTACCAATGTATAAGTTCTGAGCTGCACAATCAAGGCATTCCACCTAGTCAAAATGTTGTTATCAGAGAATGATGCTATTTGTTTTCTGACTTATAAAACAAAGGGCAGAAAAAAGAAGATCTACATCCCAGATAATAAACACTAACCCAGAACTTTAGATTTGCATCCTATTGCTCTTGCATTAAGGTAAAGAGAGTGAGTCATGGTGAATTTGGCCTTAACCCTTGACTCGCATTCATACATACATCCATATACACATACATATGTTAATTGACCACTCCCCGTGGGGGCTTTTTAGGACCAATTCCCACCCAGCAGCCACCCCAGGGGAGGACATCCATCACACAGTAATCTCGTGCATGGGAAATTGCAGGGTCCAAGTCAAATCCAAAACATTTATAATTTAAATTAGCTCTCTTTATACATAAAATTAAAAATGACCCCACAAACATCCCAGCAATATTTTCTGAAACTCTTACAGTAGCTTCTGAGGTTCATTCCCACAATGCCAGATTTGCAACTAATTTTAATATTTACAGACCAAGAGCAAGTAATAATTATGGTACTACTACATTTGCTTTTGTAGCTTCAATTATCTGGGAATCTATCCCCTTTGAATTAAAAAAACTTTCTTAGAATTGTTTCTACAAGCAATACAAAATGTATCTTTTAAAATACTCAATCCGTTTCCTGAGTGTAGTTTGCTTTTGTTTTTTACTGTTATGTAAATGCCTATAGTGTACATGTTCATGCCAATTAATTGTCTGTGGCATTGGCCAACTCGAAAGCTTCAGCTACGTTGGTCACTGCGCACATTTTGCTTTTCACTACTTGTGTAATTTAGTTTGCCTATGTCTCTCCTTTTAATGTACTTTAATGTAGAAATAATTATTTGTAAATAGTGCAAAAAAATAAAGATTAAAGATTAAATCCTCAGCTTTATTATATAACATTCTCAAAATAATATAGAAATATTTAAAATTTATGAATTTATTATAAAAGTGCACTATAGTAATCAATTTATCACGTTTCTCGGGTAAAAACAGGAGAAATACAAGTTTAATTTACCGTTTTTGGTCTATCTGCAGACGTAGTCACTATCCTCTCGATCACTGGCGCTATTTCAAACGCTCTGAAACTCATTTTCGCTTGAGATTCATAGTTACCAGCACTGCTGTAGAACTCCGCCATATTGTTTTCACCAGAGACAAATCGCGGGCTCGCCTTGTGCAAAATTTGACCCCACGATGCCACCCTGGCTTCCTCTGAACTTTTTCCTTGCGTGGGAAACGCATTGGAAATTCAATTGTGTGGGCGAAGATAGCGTTAATTTTCCGACAGGAGAGCCAAAAACAAAAGATTCTCTTGGCTATTATGTTTCATCCTAGCAACCGGAACAAAACGTAATTTTTTTTCAATTCAGTGACTCATACACTTGAAATTTTTAAGAAAATTGCCTGAAGCGAAGTACATTGTGGAATTTAGGAGCCTCATCTCACAGTTCAATAAACAAATAAAAAAGGTTTGAAAAGTGCGAGAGATGTTAATTGCACACCGCTTTGAAGGTTATCTTTCTCAAAATGGCTTTGAGGCTGCTTTTCTCGGTTTCAATCAAAGTTCGGGTGCTATTTATCTGAAATAATAAAAATGGATAAATGCAATGATGTTTTGTTCTTTTCTCAGTTTTTAGCGGAGATTTGTCTCGAATTTTATCGAAAACGAAATGCTCTAGATTTCACCGGAAACTATGGAAGATTTGGGTGGGGGGGCTCCATATAAGGAATATCCACACTAATTTATTCTCCCCGCATTAGATTACTTGAATTGTTTGAGTTGGAAGGGCAGGAAGACGCAACATTCAGGCACCGATTTGCGACTGATTTAATCACAGTTAGCTGCAGATTCTTCCCTTTCCTTTCTCTCTATAGTTGATCAAGGAAAATGAGTATGGAATTTGACGCTGACACTGTTTCAGCTCCTCGGCTCGTTGTAATGAAGCGAGCAGAAGGGGGCTACGGGTTTAACCTTCACGGCGAACGAAATGTTCAAGCGGGACAAAGTATCAGCGCTGTTGACGATGGCAGCGAAGCGCAGAAAGCAGGCCTTCGAGTCGGGGACAAAGTAATCGAGGTTAATGGTATGAACATTGAGAATATGTCTCACGGAGATGTTGTCAAGCGGATCAAGATGAACTCAAACGAAGTTACCTTGTTGGTTTGTGACCATATCACCGAGGCGTATTTGAAACAAGAAGGTCGCCCCATCACCGCTGATATGGCTAATCTTATGACAGTTTATCGGAGCAAACAAGTCAAGAGTGAGCCAGAACCATCAGAGCCCCCACAACCGGTTGTTATAGAAGAAGAACCTGTACCCGAAGTCCAAGAGTCAAACACAGTGGAAACAGCACCGACACCGATTATAACAGACGAATCGAACGCGGTCGACAGTTCGACCTTGAACGAAGTCGATTCCGCTGAAGTGGCGAACGAAGCAACTACACCCGAGGAAGTTAAACAGCTAAACGAGGTTTTGGAAAAGGAAGAGGAGTCGTTGCCCGCACCGACCACCAACGGCACTCTTAATCACTCCGAACCCGAACCTGCTCCAGAACCTGCTCCTTCGCAACCAACTCAAGTAGTAGCTCCTCCTACTGCCACACACGCTCCGTTGCCATCTAAGCCAACATCTAAACCGCTAAGAAGCACGATCAAACAGCAGAAAGTTGAGAGCTGGGATGAAAAATACAAGAAGTTCCAAAATTTGTGATTTCATTCATTAACACTGCGCTTAAGGAACCGGAGTTCTTTTCACGTTATGGAAATAGACGCGAAACACTGCAGTCGAAAGATGGCTACGCACTATACTAGAGCGGTGATGTATGTAAACTAAATATAACCTCGACGTTTTCCTTTGAATCCTAAAAAGAATTGATATTTTTTGAAATGAAGTTTGTAGAACTAGTTTGAAGAGAGTACGCATTTTTGTATTATCCAAGGTTAGCGAAGTAACTTCACTTCACGGCATTCGAATAATAAAACTTGTAGTTTAACCTTGGAGTTTTTTTTTTTGGTAGTTTCTAGAAAATCATTGCATTGTCAACCAGAGAATTCTGATTTCCAAGGCTTGTGATTGTTCAGTACAGATGTCAATTTCTCGCTGCAGTCGTCACATTTTGCTCATATTTAAACATAGCTTTATAGATCTTTATAGGAAACATTTCAAAATCGAATGTTGAAGTGAACATATCTTGAGGCTTTGACAATCCTCTAGAAGTCGCAATAAATAGCTATTTCCACTCAAATGAATATGAATTGTTTACTCTCAGCTGGACGATGGATTTTGGCCAACTGTCTCGAGTTTTTTGAGCAAAATATTTTTACTAATCTTGTCGTGGCAGATGTTGGGTTAAAATGCCACACAGTTTTTTTTTTCCTATTCAGTTCCTCCTCTAATGGACTCGACGTAGAAGTACATTTTGATATCCTTTGCCCATAATATAGCGTTGCAAATTTTATTTGTCGTTTTTGTAATGATATTTCTAATATTGTCAAACTATTTTGGTGCATCCATCTTGTTTTTGCATCGTTTATTAAACTAATTTACGTTGGAAAAACATGAAACTACAAGTAATAATATCACTTGATCGTGCATTCGAAATGTGAACTTAAGAAGCTCTTTACGGTGGCCGATTTACACGTAAATCATAGTTTGTAGCCACGGACAATTGTGGTGGTCAACTCAAACTTCGCCATTTCAAGTTGTTGGCTTTCACTAGTCGCAATTGAGCGTCGCTTTATTACAATCAGTTGAGAACAAAAATAATTAACGGTTTGTTTACTCCGTGACCTCGTATCGCGCAATATTTATTGGGACGATATTGCGACTTATTAAAATACCAACCATATTGCGATAAATACGTTCGTACATTACCGCAAGCGATGTACTTTCAGATAGGTTTAAACGAATTCGGGGAAAATTAACCAAACTTGATGTAGATCTTGAAAAATATATATATATTCATCCGGCTAAACGTAAATATATTATGTTCTTGATCTTTTTAACACGCGAGGCTTAGTAAATAGTACGTTTGTTTTACTCCTAAACTATTCGAAACATTTGTTTCCTACTGCGGTATCGGCTTTCACGCACGGTTCTCTGTGTCGTTGTCATATATTATACTTTGTAATATTCAGCTTTTTCGTTCACCGAGGTAACCAAAAGCGCCCTTTTGTGGGATAAATTGACCTATGTGAGACTGAATGTTTTGCATAACAAAAGAATTCCCAGGCAAACTTTCGCTGTCAAAACGTGGCAGCAGTCGCTTCGTGCCCAGAAAATTATGATAGTTACCAGATAATTCGAAATTAGATTTTAATTTTAGGCCGGAATATAACATCTGGGACAATTTCCATTATAGGATTTAAGAAATTAGACCCCTAGAACAATGCAGAAAAGAGCTAGCATATCACATAGAAAAGAGTTAATTTTTCAGAAGTGGTTATCCTTGTTACACAACACCAAAAGTCTTACTTGGCTTGGGTACAACTGCTCCTTCCCAGAAAAAAAAAATTGCAAAAGAGCATCTGTTTTTTCAGTAAAAAATTCGTTATCAAATACCAACTAATTTTTCTTGGAATTTGTCAGACAATTTGATTGTGAGGGGGTGACTTTCCTCATAGACAAACTGATTCCCTGTTTGCTGTACTGTACCATTTGAAACATGCAAGTAGGTGTGTTCTGTCTTCATGCTGCTAATTTAAAACTGAGGTTTATCGCATGGGATAGAAAGCACTTTCTATTGGGTTACCCGCATAATGACTCCCTTTGGGATGTTGGAGAATACAGTAAGCATTTGTAAATCACAAGCCAGAGGCTATAGAGTAATTTATAAAAAATTTTTCCTATTCACCCAACATCCCAAGTGGGTTAATGTGCAGTCTACTGCTTTTATAGAGTAAACTTTATTGTTTCAGTTATCTGTGGTTTACCAGTGCAATAAAAATGATAGGTTTTTGACCAATTGAGGTACTTAAGTTTTTCAGTTATTTTGTAAAGCTTAATGGTTGAATTTGTTATGTTTTTACAATACTTTACATCTTTGTAAATAACCTTGCTGCTGCAGTAAACAATCAAGCATATGTATCTGAAATCTATCCAATGCCACACAGCTACACCCAATTACTCTGGCAACACCTTGCATGGTTGAAGAAATAAATGACATTAAGTAGGACTTTAATTTCTTGTGGAAATGTTTTAGAAATAAATTGTTTGTTTTCTTCATGTTAATTCACTTATCTTAATTGAGCCAATACTTTACAGTGGTGATCCAGCATCCCTTAGCTTTTGCCCACAATTATTGAAAAAAACAAATGCCTGTATGTGAACAGAAAGCAAGCCTCTGTTAATCCTTGCTGGAATTGTGAAAGGCAAAATTAAAGGGTAGCCATTTTTTGTACAAGTTTTAGCCCTTTTCCACACTTAGAATGCAGAGGAATTTTTAAAGCATTCTTAAACACTATCAGTTTACAATATAAATTGCTTGCAAAGTCTGGGTTGAATTTTAAGAGAAACTGAAAAACTTTTGAAACCATGATATTTCAACAGAGGACATCCTGGCTATATCATGCTGCATGATTCCATTAAGATGATACAAGTTAAAATACATGGACTTTGTTTTGCGTATGTTAAAGAATGATTTGACATGCTTGGCAGACAATCACTCATTAGTTTCTTTCTCTTAATTAGGAGGGCTGTTGGAATGTCACCTCACATTTCTTATAGCTTTGAATTATTGATACATTTTTTATTATTATTTCAAAAGAAAATTCTTGAAAGTTTTTGGTATTGTTTAGTTAAAATTTTCCAACAAAATTAAGTTTAGAATCTAGCCACATTTGTCTAACCTCTTCAAAGCTTTGTGTAGACTTGTTTTGTTTTTGACACTTTCTTATCTGAAAAAAGGCAGCTACTTATCCTTGTAACTTGTTACTGCCATCAGCAATCTTGTGGGTTTTCAGATTTTAAAGTCCACTAGTTTTGAATGTCACACCCAAAAACTGACTGAAATTACATATTAAATGTTATTTGTGGCACTGACAAGAAAGTTGAAACCAAACAAATTTTGATGCAGCAGGTAACAGCCACCATGCCAAAAAATCATCCTGGAACTTTTTGTATTCAATCCTTTATTAACATTGCCAAGTATCAATGACATGCTCTCACTTACAAAAGCATGGGTGTCCTGTGGATTGAATAGTTGATAAACAATGGAACCTTGTTAACCTTTCCTTGAATATCAGCACAAAAAGACATGACAAATCATCATTTAGAGGTTACTATAGCTGGAAATAAAAACACCTCTCTTTTGTGATTTGTAATTAAATATTAATGCTTAACAGGTGGTTAAAGGGTTTGCTTAACTTTTCTCCTGGAGGGTTAAGGTTCTTTCCTTCTCCAAAGAATTTTTTCATTGTTCCTTCCTTTACTAAACCTTCCCTAAACTCTGACCAATAGAGAACTTCCCCTTACAAAATCAATACATTATCAAACAGACAAGTGATGAGAATGAAGAGAAATATTAATTAGGGGATTATTAGTTGATCCAATACCAAATTCTCCAAACTCGTATCGTAAGAATTGCATGGCAGACAGTAAGGAGAATAAGGAATGAGATCTTGGGAGTGAAAAGGTCAAATATAAATGCTCTACAGGTTGGAATGAGATTTACTATACTCATCGAAAGCATTTTCCATTGTTCCCAATCCAAACCTTCCCACAAGGACACCCAGGCGATGACTTGGCGTGATACACAGTTTAAATCTCCCCAAGCTTGCATAATTGGCCGCTAAAAAGGTTTATTTGAGTAGGTTATGGCGGCTGTAGGTCATTTGAGTAGGTTGTGGCGGCTGTAGGTCATGTGCTGTATCGCAAGTTTATCATGTGCTGTATCGCAAGTTTATCACGTGCAGTATCAATGGTTTCCAGCTGACCCAACCGCGCCCTCTCTCCTTCTGAGTCTGTGTTCTTCTGGTCTCCGTGAAAATTTATGTTCTCTGTTGTGTTATCAAGCAAGAAATTGTTCTTGATTAGAATTTCATATCTTTGACTTGTTTGTCTTTGTTCTTGATGCAACTGCAAAGGACGGAACATTAATTTTACACAATTCATCGAGCGAAAAAACACTCCCGTGTACTCGGTTAAAAAGATCACTTGAAATTCTGATCAACTCAATAACGTCTCACTGTGGATAATAGTCCTTATGGTTTTTGGTTACGAGTCGATTTGTAAAAAAGGTATTGGCCCATCCTAACGAAGATAATTTTCATGACTTTTTTATCTCGATAATCGAAGCAGAAGACGATTAAGTTGAAGTGCCCATTCTTGTACAAAAAATGGCAAATTCTGTATCCTTGAATCAATGTACTAATAATCGATAGGTTCTGTTAGGAGTAAATTTGATTGTAATACTATTCTGTAAGACTATATATTTTGTAACTCTAGCTTGTTTTTCAGTAATTATTATTTATCCAGATAGCTTACTTAGGTACTTTACAATTATTAGTTAGCTAGTTGGTTAGTTACGTAGTTAGTTAGTTACTTTACAATTATCATATTATCTATTATGACTGCTGTAACCTTACCTCTCCGCCCGCCTCGTCTATCTTTTGCTATTTGCGGGTGGAGATGGCAAACTGATGTGCGTGGAATAAAGTTTGTAAATATTTAAAAAAAAAAAAAAATGTCTCATCACTTGTTTCTTATTTTATTCAATATACGGCTTTTAATTGTTCTCTTGAGGATTTTCTCCAAAGAAAAGAAAACGGAAAGGTCTTCGTTCTTTATATTTTACAAAAAAAAAGACATTGAACTTAATTTAAAAGAACTTCCCAGCAACCTGAAAGTTACTTGTGGTAGCCCAAAGTACCTCTGAAAGCATCGTCACCGAACCCCTTGAGTTCTCTGCAAACAGTTCTAACGATTGCCTCATCGGCCATTGGAAATTTGCAGTTTATGGCCATTCGTGGTGACAGAAAACCCCACAGAAGGTCACACCATCTTTATGGGATCCCTGTGGTTATAGATGTCGCAATTCAGGTCCAAGTGTGTAAAGAAAGGGGGCACTGCACTGAGATGATGAGTACTGGCACACTAGAATCTATTCAGTCTTTCTTTTAGAATTTAGCGCATCCAAAATATCAGTGATCATGACACCAAACCTAGAAATGCCGCTTTAATCGAGGGAATCCCTTATACTTAATTTGTGTCCAAACCAATAGTTGGTGGTGGATGAATTGGCTGAAGTACATCGAAAGTTTGGATTTCGCCCTTTTTTGTACCGTCCGAAAGTCTGCTCCCCATTTAGGTGGTCTGGGGTGGAGCTGCGCCCGCACTCGTTGACGTCACTGCGGTGAGTCAAGAAAAAGTTCTTTTTCTGTCCCCAGGCTGAGGTGCATTGTTGGCAATTATGCCCCCGAACATCCATGTACTCCACTTCTTTGCATGCTCTTCCCGCCGAAAAAGTCAAAATATCGAATTTCCGAAATTCTGCCTTTACATAATCTCTATAATCGACACCAAGTGTTGGAAAACAACACGTTACTCGCCAGTGCGTGGATTGAGATTTTAATTCTTCCATTTTTCTTAAAGGAAGTCTGTAAGCTTGCCAATTGGCCATTTCTGCATTCTCTGGAGAATCGACAAGCAGCCCCACTGACGCAAATTGTTCCTCCCTGTAGCGTAAGCTTTGTGAGGTGACCAGTGTCCAGGCCCAGCCGGGTTCAGAGGCCAGGTCGCAATACATTTTGTAGAGATGATCGTTATTGTCTTGAATGCAGTAGAAACCAGATATTCGCGCACCTCGGTTCCACGCTTCTAAACAGCTTCGCGGCCTCTTGTGATGAAAAAAAAAGGGTGAGATAGAACCAAAAGGTGTTGCGTTAATATTTCATGATATTATGATATAACATGCTGAGATAAAAGTTTCTTGATTAATCCACCGCATATCGTTAGATAGAGGTTTCTCGATAGAAGAGATATTTTTCTGTTAGCTTGTGGTAGGCCTTCGTTAACTATAAGTGGACTCAAAGTAAAGTCAGGATTTTGAGAAATGATGATTGTAACATTGTTGTGTTTGAGTAAGGGTGGTAGCATTTGTCGCGATCAGACAACGAAAGTAAACTACGATGGGACATGGTAATTGATATCGAATATCAATGAAAGAAAAGTATGTAAAATCTGTGTATCTTCAAATAATATCCTTTCTTTATTACAACGGGAGATATGTCCTTGATCGGCATTTTGATTGACATGTTTAACAAACGAGTGTGCTTTGTTGCCTGTCATCTGTGATCAGTGTATTTGTAAAAGGGTAAAAATCAAAAGTTTAAAAACGGTTGAAATAAGCTGATGGATTTTCCTTGATAAATATTTTTTCTTATTGACACTTCAGTGTATTTTGCACAAATAGCTCCACTGAAAACTTGGCAAATTAAACGATTTGATGGTGGCAAAAGTTATTTTATAAACTCAATGTTGTCAGCTAGGCCAATAAAATTAAACGATTTGATGATGGCAAAAGTTATTTTATAAACTCAATGTTGTCAGCTAGGCCGATAAGAAACACGATATATGAGCTTCGTGTATGTGGCAAATAATGTAAAATCCTGTTTACAGAAAAAGAAAAAAAATCCAAAGACTAGTGCAGGTGAAAACTGACGCAAGGTATATGGTTTTCCCTGCAATCTCTTTTAAACATTGTTATTTAAGACTCTTACCTCTTTTCGATGTATTCGGCCAAAGGCGAATCCACGTTTCAGAGCCACCTTTGAACGTACATCTCCATCTTGATTGTCATTCAACTCACAAATGCCCTCTCTTGGCGCTGACGTTTGGTAATTGAATGACGAGCACGGCGTCGATGACAGGCATCTTTGGGCACAAGAGAGAATTCCACGGGTTACCAACGAGGAAATCACATTGCCGATTAGAACTTGATCGTGCAATATCGAGCCTTTGGTCTCTCGACAGAAGTCCTCTGCACCAATATCCGACAGAGGACTCACCAAAAATAAAAGTAGTACCTGAACTTTCATGCCAAAGCGCAGGGCAATAGCCGCCGAAACAGATCGACTTCGTCAGTGCAATCAAAACATATGCTGTGAAATAAGGAAATACAGATGGCTGAAAGTGGATTCTTTTTATTACAGAATGACGGATCGGAAGCGGCCGCGACAAAATATACACTACTGTGACTATAATTATCATTCCCTGTGATAAACAATCTTATCTGCGCGCGGCACTTTTGTTGAAATCTTAACAGGGTTGAAAATACGTAATATTGTTTTTAGAAGGGTCTTATATGATCGACTCGGCCACTGAATCAAAAAATGAGAAGAAAACACTTCAAAGCCAATGGGAATAAATTACCATGCATTTTGGAAGTGAAATTTTATCGCTGTCAAGATGAATCTCGATCAAGTCAACTTTGGTAATCAAGAGGCCGATTAATAGAGACTTTTCGTATAGCTATACAGCACCTAATAAATTACCAGATTCTTCCTATAGATGGGATTCAATGTAATTCTACGAAAGGCCTGAGACTCCCGCTGATTTATGCATAAATAATGTCGAATTATGCGGTCATCGCTTCCTTTAAAATAACCCTTAATTCTCCGAGCAATCACAATTGAGCGTCGCATAGAAGGACTACAGCATTGCTTTGGTTTACTTTACTTCGGTATGTGATTGATTCAGAAAAATAGAGCCATCTGCATCCTATAATTAGATTCAAAACTAAAATCAATCGCGTTGTAACCCTTTGAATCCTACGAGAGACAAGCAGCTTATTTCTTCTTATGAATTAACCTCCAAATCAAACATGGCGGTATCAAGAATAAAGGAAATGATCGGCCACTGAAGAAGTTCTAGGTGGTTTAACTGACTGAAGTTCTCATTGTCAGCACCTTGGGAAATGTATGCATATGGAAAACAGTATGGAGAATATGCATACCGATGTTAGAATGTCTAGGGTTAAAGTGAATCAAGCAGTTTGCTTGTTTTTATTCTGAATTCTGATCGGCTTTTCGTGATATTTTCGGTTCCACTGATTGACTATTGAAATTAATAAAAGTGGTTTTCATGGTACCACACTGTCATTCGAAATACGCTGTAAGGTGTGGTTATTTTGATTTCAAGAAAAACTTTAAAATCGTTATACATCATGATGTTGAGACAGCAATTGACAGGAAGACAAGAATCATGTACAGAGGTTATTTTTTTACATCTCATTTAGCTTCGTGTCCTTTATTGAAAACGCCAAAGTAATCAAGAACAACGGAATTGTAGCTTTTTTCCGAAAAACAACTTTCTCTATCCACCTAATGTTCTGTGGATTTTTACTGTGGAATGCTTGACTGTTTAAAGAGTTTCTGCTTAATTAAGATTTCTAAAATATAGCTCTGGGTTATTCAGTTTACACAAAAGGTTTCTATACTTTAAAAGTATTAATTATCAATTTGCATACCATGATTCAGAAATTTTTTAAGAGTTTCAATCATATTTTCGTTTGGCATTTGTTTAACCTTTGAAACCCTAAGATCGACCAGTATCTAACTTTTCCTTGCAATAATATTGCCAAATAGTTCATCAGGATCAGGAGAATTAAAGAAAGGAACGCCAACCTAAGAAGCTTTGATTGTAAAAGAAATTCTCCTCGTCGGTTTCAAAGGATATGCATAGGACCAGTTTGGAGAATATGAATACCGATGCAAGGGTGTGAAGCGTTAAGTACTTCCCAGTTTGCATTAACTGCTGCGCTAATGTCTCGGATTCAACGTAGGTTAAGCTACGGTATCTCTCTTCGGACAGGAACTCAACAACCTCGCTTTGTGAGGTGACCAGTGTCCAGGCCCAGCCNAGCCATCTGCATCCTATAATTAGATTCAAAACTAAAATCAATCGCGTTGTAACCCTTTGAATCCTACGAGAGACAAGCAGCTTATTTCTTCTTATGAATTAACCTCCAAATCAAACATGGCGGTATCAAGAATAAAGGAAATGATCGGCCACTGAAGAAGTTCTAGGTGGTTTAACTGACTGAAGTTCTCATTGTCAGCACCTTGGGAAATGTATGCATATGGAAAACAGTATGGAGAATATGCATACCGATGTTAGAATGTCTAGGGTTAAAGTGAATCAAGCAGTTTGCTTGTTTTTATTCTGAATTCTGATCGGCTTTTCGTGATATTTTCGGCTCCACTGATTGACTATTGAAATTAATAAAAGTGGTTTTCATGGTACCACACTGTCATTCGAAATACGCTGTAAGGTGTGGTTATTTTGATTTCAAGAAAAACTTTAACATCGTTATACATTATGATGTTGAGACAGCAATTGACAGGAAGACAAGAATCATGTACAGAGGTTATTTTTTTACATCTCATTTAGCTTCGTGTCCTATATTGAAAACGCCAAAGTAATCAAGAACAACGGAATTGTAGCTTTTTTCCGAAAAACAACTTTCTCTATCCACCTAATGTTCTGTGGATTTTTACTGTGGAATGCTTGACTGTTTAAAGAGTTTCTGCTTAATTAAGATTTCTAAAATATAGCTCTGGGTTATTCAGTTTACACAAAAGGTTTCTATACTTTAAAAGTATTAATTATCAATTTGCATACCATGATTCAGAAATTTTTTAAGAGTTTCAATCATATTTTCGTTTGGCATTTGTTTAACCTTTGAAACCCTAAGATCGACCAGTATCTAACTTTTCCTTGCAATAATATTGCCAAATAGTTCATCAGGATCAGGAGAATTAAAGAAAGGAACGCCAACCTAAGAAGCTTTGATTGTAAAAGAAATTCTCCTCGTCGGTTTCAAAGGATATGCATAGGACCAGTTTGGCGAATATGAATACCGATGCAAGGGTGTGAAGCGTTAAGTACTTCCCAGTTTGCATTAACTGCTGCGCTAATGTCTCGGATTCAACGTAGGTTAAGCTACGGTATCTCTCTTCGGACAGGAACTCAACAACCTCGACAATTAGCCAGGGGTACTCATGCGACACAGCTAGAGAATACTCACAAGTGTAGACTCTACTGAGCCACAGAAACATTTGTAAAAGCCAGGGGTAAACTTGAGGATACTCAATGGATCGATAAGACTTCGTTGCCTATCGCTGAGTGTAAATAGCGTAGTTTTATACATAGACTAAATATTTCGAGGTAAAGACCCAAAGTGTTCTTAAATTGTATGC